CATGCTCGGTGCTGCAGCAATCATCACGTAAGGTGGAGCAGTGGTTATATTCTGCACATGCTCGTTTAAGCAATAGTTGCTCTAGCACTTGTGGATCAGGTCAATGCAAAGCTGTGCATGCTCAAATATTACCGGGTAAATGCTTTTAAAATAGTAGCTCTAGGGGGGCAAGTCTTCAAAAATTTAAATTTCCCTACACACGGACCGATAAAGAATTTGTCAAGTTGGCAAAATATGGATCATAACTGGTAGGCTGGGGCTTTTGAAACTAGAGAGGCTCCAATTGCAAGTCAACGAACATCAATCAAAATCCCTTTCTTCCCCGAAGACACTATTAGATAATGAGGACAACTGAGGTAAGAGAATTTTTATGAGACTATATGATGTGTCTGTGTCTTGGTTTCTGTGGGGCTACCTAATTTTTTCCCTTCTTTCTCTCCCTACTCTTTTCTTCCTCTTTTCTCTCCTTCTCTCTCTAGTTCCTCTGATTGCTACACACAGATTCATTTTCTTATTTATATCCAGCCCCCACTACTCCTCCTAATAATGTTAATTTGTCTCGTAATGTCGAGAACAACGCACTCCTTGCCACATGGGATGCTATTGAGACCACACCCCCTGAGGGAGAGGTAGCGTTCTATCAGGTTGAATTCAAGGACACGAGATCCTCCATTGCTAACACACTGTTCATTGATCCAGGGTTTAGTTTCTCTAGTATATTCAATGTCAGTAATGCTCAGGGATATCAAGTGAGGGACTCATTTATTATGTGATTTACACGTACATGTACATGTGAATGGTATACAATAAAATGGGCCAAAGTCCTGTACTTTAGTTTTTAGCCAAATTTGCCAAAAATGAAAAGGAGAAGATTTTTAATTTTTTCTGATACGTATACATGTTTTTATGTTGTGTGACAAGTTTGAGTTGATTCCGATCAAAATTAGTTTTTTATGAATTTTTAAAGTTACTCAAAAATTGGGCCAAAGTTCCTGTACTATAGTACAGTGATTTCAACCAAATTTTGTCAAAATTGGCTAGGAGAGAATTTTCCATTTTTATAATTTTTTTCTGATACATATACATGTTCTTATGTTGTGTACAAAATTTGAGCTGATTCCGATAAAGTTTGGATTTTTTATGAATTTTTTAACTTGCTAAAAAATCGGCCCAAAAACCAAAGGCTATAGCCTTTGGTCTCGGGCCAAATTTCATCAAAATTGGCTGGGAGACAATTCTCCATTTTTATAATTTTTCCTGATACATATACATGTTCCTATGTACTGTAGCAAGTTTGAGCTGATTCTAACCAAAATTGATTTTTTTATGAATTTTGAAAGTTGCTTTAAAGTACTAGATTTATTGTGGTGCTTAAAGCTCATGCTTTTTAGCTAACTTAGCATGCTTTGTGGGAAACCCTTCATATTGTACAATACATGCAGTTACCAGACTTACATGTACAGTACATGTACCTCAGTATCATTATGTGATTATCTTGTGGTTGTTACTTATTCTTAAGGTGAGGGTGAGGACAGCAGTCCAGAGTACAGCTAATCCTGATGTTATTTACGTGTACAGTCCATACAGTAGGTGGGCCTCAGTCAGTGGCGTTATAATAGAAGGTACGGGATAATAACTTTATATGAGTATCTGATTTATATTGTGTCTTTTCTATTTAATCTTTTTCTCCTTTCCTTTACCTTCTCTCCTTCTCTACTTTTT